TGAACCTAACCGCTACGCCATTGCGCCGGCCTCAAGCAATTCTTTTTTTGTGTGTGTGAGATGATCAGCCCAGTTTTAACATCTGCCAATCCTCCTCTTTTTTTCTTTTTTTTTTTTTTTGCTGAGGAAGACTGGCCATGGGCTAACATCAGTGTCCATCTTCCTCCACTTTATATGGGATGCCACCACAGCATGGCTTGCCAAGGAGTGTGTCCGTGCGTGCCCAGGATCCGAACCGGCGAACCCTGGGCCGCCGCAGCGGAGCACGGGCACTTAACCGTTTGCACCACTGGGCCAACCCCCCCAAGCGATTCTTTTAATATTGTTTTCTGTCAATTATATGGTTTAATATCATCCTTATTAATAATTGCATAATATGTCACCATATAGCAGAGCATAATACATTTAACCTGTTTTCCTGCTGTGGGATTTTTATGTTTTTAATTTTGCAATATCAAAAATTATTCTTTAGTGAACATTCTTATGCATATACTTTGTGAACTTCTACAGTTATTTCCTTTAAAAATTTTCTAGAAGTGGTGTTTTGTGGTCAAAAAGCATACTTCTTTTCATTGTCTACGTATGCCAGGCCTGGAATTTGTAATATTTGGACTAATACAATCACTAAAAAGACATAATTGCTTCTTTCAAAGTACTTGTAATCTGTGAAGGAAGTTAAAGTCTACATAGGAATAATTGTAAGGTAGTGTGTGATAAAGGCCACAGGAGAGATTTAGGTGACTTGCCTTGTGAGTTCACAGAAATGAAACATCAGTGTGACTATATGATAGTCAGGATATGAAGAAATTACACTGAGCACATGGGATCTGTGTGGCAATAAATGGATTTTAAATTTTTTTTTTTTTTTAATTTTATTTATTTATTTTTTCCCCAAAGCCCCAGGAGATAGTTGTATGTCATAGTTGCACATTCTTCTAGTTGCTGTATGTGGGACGCGGCCTCAGCATGGCCAGAGAAGCAGTGCGTCTGTGCGCGCCCGGGATCCGAACCCGGGCCGCCTGCATCGCAGCGCACACACTTAACCGCTAAGCCACAGGGCCAGCCCTGGATTTTATACTATACTGTTTATATCTTGTAGATTTCATCAGTGATATTAGATGTATAATAGATTTCATCAATGATATTAGATATATAGTACATTTCATCAGTGATATGAGATGTCCAGCAGAATTAATAGATAAGATAATTCAGCAGCTACCTGGAGGATATCATGACAAAACTGACAGGTTTAGCAACAGTTTTTCTATCAAGAAGATCTGAAATAAAGCTGTGTGGAGACTGTCATCAGTTTGCAAAAGAGATGACTCAGGGAATGTTCCCCAGTTTTTTGTAGATAGAATTCCAACATACCGACATGAGGAGAAATGATAAAGTGAGTTCAGGTATTGGGATCCAGAGGAAACAAAACAAAATATAAGCCATTTAGTAAAACAATCTGAATTTAAAGAACAACGAACTTTATGTACGTCTCCAACTTAACGAATTAAAGCAACACACATATGTCAAGTTACTGTGTTAACTGTTATAATGATTATGAAATAAACTGTAAAAAAGTCAAGATCTAAGCAATAAGAAAGAGAATGCTGATGTCAAATTCTGATCCTGGCAAAGGTACATTATACATCTTCATTAGTCTTATTTGGTTGCTTCATGTATTGACTAAAAACAACTGAATAAAGAGTGATTCATTTCTAAAAACACCCCCCCTCCAAAAAACAAAACAATACAAAACATAACCAAAAATATAAGAACTGTTAATATATGGCCATATAAATTTCCAGACTTTTTCTGTCTTCCATTTTATGATTATTTGTCTGTCTGCCATTCTTCTCTCTGTGTTGATTAATATATTCTTATATTTTATAAAAATAAGTATGTTCGTCAACCTGATTTTTCTATTGACATTACGTATGGAATATTTTCCATGTCCTTAAATGTTCTTCCCCACTTTAAACCTTTTAATGACTAGTTTATATTTTGTGCAGTGTTGGCCTGTCATATATTTAGTAGGCTTTGCTGAATAGACTCAGAATGCTGAACATTCCTTGTCCTTCTCTAATATTTTGGTCAACTTCATCCAACTTCAAGGCCATAAAAGAGGTTCTGGTTTGGATGATGTGGCCTCTTTTCAGTCTTGAAGTTGGAAATGGGAAGAGGAAGGTCTGCTCAGTGCAGGACATAGCTGCCCAATCTCAGGTCCACATCAGCCTCACCACAACGGCACATTGGCCAGAAAATTTCCTGCTGAAGTGTCTGGGTCTCGCTTCAATGTGGAAATGACTCTGCAGCTGAGACCCTGGGACCTGAGTGAGGAAATAGATTTGTCCAGAATCCAAATTTATCCAAATTGTGTGTGCTGCGAGGTGATTGGGAACGTGTAACGGAAGAGCATAGGGGTAGTATTAACGTAAGTCCCGTGCGCGAACACTGTAGCACAACTTGTCTCAAGGTCTTTCTTTTCTCCCAGGTCTGGGTTTTCTGGACTCTGCTTTTCTGGTAGAGGAACCCAGAGGACTGATCAGCTCTCGCAGCTCTAAAACCATGGCCCGTGTAAGTAGTTGTTTATCTCCTTGTTGAAATATATGTATGTTTTTTAGGTTCATGTAAGTATTTTGATTAATTTTCTTGCGGTTTCCTAAAAGAAAGACCCGTCAAATAACCTGCTTCCCAGCTCTTGTTCCAGTGAGCTCTGATGCCAGATTACCTAGTGCCCCCTCTATGTGGCCCGTTTAACTAATGTTTGTGTAATTATTTACCAAATTATTCAACATATTTTAAGTGGCCGATCTTCTGTTAAGGGCAGTGATGGAGTAGTGAAGCAGTTAAATTGTTTGCAGTAAAGATTTGTGCTTTGTGGGTCAGGTGTGTAGTTTGGTGAGATGGAGACAATGGTTCTATTTAAGTATCCACTTTAAGACTGAAATTTTCTGCATATCTGAGATTTCCAGGTAGATGACATGAAATTTGTCATTGAATGACCTGAATCTTAATGTAGGGTGAAATCTCGTGTTTCGTATGGATTAGTATATGACTGGGGCTTTTAACATGGAGGTCATGGATTTGGTAGGAAAGCCATGAGACATAAATACTAAGGCTATTTTGTTGTTGAATGAGACGTGCTAAGCTTGGGTGACATCTATATAATTGACCAACCTTCTTTAGTATCTTTGAACTCAAATATATTATCTACTGTTGTATAATTAATTACCCTGAAACATAGTATCTTAAAGCAGTCAACATTTATCTCACAGTTTCAGAGGGTCAGGAATCGGGATGTGACTCTGGGTCTCTTACAAGGCTGTCAACATGTTGGTCAGGGTTGCAGTCATCTTAAAGCTCAACTTTGGGTGGATCTGCTTCCAAGCTCACTCAGTGGTTATTGACAGGATCCAGTTCTTCATGGGCTATGGGACTGAGGGTCTCACTTCCTCAGTAGGTGTTGGCTGGAGACTGCCCTTGGTTTATTGTTATGTGGGCCTCTCCATAGGGCGGCTCACAACATGGTAGCTGGCTTCATCAGAGTGAGTAAGTGAGACAGCAAGAAGGGATGAGCAATGTGCAAATCATAGTCTTTTATAACCTATGGAAGGGACGTTTCATCACGTTTACTATATTCTATTTGTTAGAAACATATTACTCTCACTAGGTTCAGCCCACATTGAAAGTGAGGGGATTACATGAAGACAGTAGTACCAAGAGGTGGAGATCATTGTTACTCAATGAAGTTACCTACCACACTCAAAATAAGGAAAGTGTTTAGTGAGAAATGGTAAATGGAAATAGAAACGAATATCATATGTAGTAGGTGAAAACTGAATCTTGGAATTGGGGAAGACTTTCCAAATTGTGCAACCTGACTGTATAAATTAATAAATACGATTTATCCAGAAAATATAATGTCACGTGCCAAAAACTACATGGATCTATTGAAGCAAATAAAAATGCTTATGGTAAGATTTGATATATTTAAGTACTTGATGTTTGAGGAAGGTCCTAATTTTATGCAGTTTTCTAAAATTTGGAGAAGAATATCCCCTGATTAAGTGTTTCTCTTCCTTAAAAGAAAAATATTCCTCGGTAACTCACATTTGTTGAGAATTTATGAGGCGGATACCATTTGGACATTATTCTTGTATACACTTTTTAGTTTAGTAGGGAAATATTATTATTTTGTCCATTTCCAGAAGGTTTCAATATTTAGAAGTGTCTCAGACTATGGAGGACGTTTTATCTATGTCAGCAGTCTTCTTTAAAAATATGTCTACATGGGCCGCCCCTGTGGCTTAGCAGTTAAGTGCTCGCGCTCCGCTGCTGGCAGCCCGGGTTCGGATCC